AGCAAGCGAATGGGCTTCCCAGTCAGGGATCTGACATCTGTAGTGGCTTTGACTCTCACATGTGAAGTCTGAGCACACACTTCTGATAAAAGCTGTGTAGTTCATGCTTGTAATCCCGGTATTCTAGACCAGGAGGCTAGAGGATCAACCAGGCCAGCCTTGGCTACATAGTAAGTTCCAGGCCAGTCTAAGCTATAATATATACTGAGAGACTTTGTCTCAAAAACAGAACAGTGAAGTAAACCACAAATTAACTGTTTGATCTTAAGAATTTGTTCAATTTCTTAAGAATTTGTTCAAAGGGCAATCAATAGCCAGCTAGAAGGAAAGCCTTTATAGACACCCAAGGAGGGCAGAGCATGCTGGTTTTGCTCAGGTCATTTGAAATTTTTGTCTTTATCTGTGTGACTGACTATAGTTAAATCCTATACGTTTTCTTTCTTTTGTCCCTGCTGTAGAAGGAGCAGCGGGATCCCGGCTCCCAGGCTAATTTACACCCAAAATAATTACACGGAAACTGTATTCTTTTAAACACTGCCTGGCCAGTTAGTTCTAGCCTCTTACTGGCTAACTCTCACGTCTTGATTAACCCATTTCTATTGATGTGTGTAGCACCACGAGGTGGTGGCTTACCGAGAAGATTCTAACCGACATCCATCTTGGGCCGGAGCTTTCATCATCTGCCTCACTTCCCTTCTTCCCAGCATTCTGTTCTGTCTACTCCGCCTACCTATGTTCTGACCTATCAGGCCAAGCAGTTTTTTTTATTAATTAACCAATAAAAGCAACACATAGAAAGAAGACCCACCTACATCACCCTGCAGAACTGAGGACTGAACCAAGTGCCTTGTTCATGTAGACAATCATCTCTCACTTAGCTATTGTCCCAAACTTTCTATTCTTACCCCATCGCCTTATCCCATGTCCTTTTTAGATTGTCACCCATTGCAGGCAGAAGGATACGATACACACCTTTTTTCCCCTTGGTCTAGTAGTCTCTTGAGAGAAATGCCTGGTATTTGTTTGTTTGGTTTGGTTTTGCTGGGGATTTTGTTTATTGATTTATTTATTTTTGAGATAGGGTCTTGTACATACCTGAGAGACCTGGAACTTCCTGTGTAGCCCAGTTTGGCCTTGAAATGTTAGCAGAATTCTTGCCTCAGCTTCCCTATGCCACAACGTACAGACATGGGCAACTGCCTGTAGCTCTTTGCCGTTTTTATTATTTTTTTTTAAAAAGAATATATGTGTCTGGGTGCTTTGTCTGCATATTATGTCTGTGCACCATGTGTGTGCCTGATGCCTGCAGAGTTCAGAAGAGGGTGTCGAATCTCCTGAGATTGGGATTACAGATGGTCGTGAGCTGCCCTGTGGGTGCTAGGAATCAACCTTGTGTCTTCTGAAAGACCAGCCAGCGCTCTCAGCTGCTGAGCAATCTCTCCAGCTCTCCCTCGCCTAGATTTTAATGTAAATATTGTGCTCAGATAGTCAGCCTACCTGAAACAAAAACAGCCCATCCACTTCTCATCTAAAGTCTACAAGATTAGCAGTAGAAAATTAGTGGTTACCAGAAAGGATGAGTGACTTCTTGCTGGACCACCTCATTGTATGAAATTGCCTGAGTATATATCTTTCTTTACCAGCAGAAGAAGTTAAATATAGTCAGCCTTCCATAACCATGGGTTCTGCTTCCATGAATTTATCCAACTTCAGATAAAAATATCTTGAAAAAAATTGGTTTGTTTGGAATATATGCAAACCTTTTGTTATTCCCTGAATGGTACAATACAGCACTAATAAAATAGCACACAATGTATTATGCATTATAAATAATCTAGAAGTGATTTAAAGGAGGTGGGGGATATGTATATGTTGTCTGCAAACTCTATGTCATTTTCTATGAGGGAGCTTAACATTCTCAGATTTTGGCATCGGAACAGGAAGAAACCTGTAATTGATTCCCCGTGGCTGCTGGAAGACACCTGCATTGCAAATGTTTGGTACTGGGGGACAAAAAGCAGGCTTTGGAGCTCAATGGGCCAACATGAGAAAACAAAATTGATGTAAAAATCCTAGCATTCCACAAACTTGTCCAAGGCCAAATATTACTAAAAGTGAGGTTTAAATTATACAAATGGATTTAAAGAGCAGGGAAACCAACAAATACCTGGAGCCAAGTGGGGAACCTAAGGAGCTCAAGGTTAGGGAAGCAATTGTCCAAAAGCCAAATGGGCTGATAGTATCTGAGATTCCCTGTAGAGAGAGTGTGAAATCGGCACCCATGGACTGTAGGTGAGTTCACACTGTGGGTGGGAGGCAATGGGCCAACAGTGAACTCCATGAGAAGGCTTGTCTGTGGAATTCTACCCATAAGCTGAGCTCATCTCCAGCAGTGATGGGGGCAAGTTGTGGCGGAGCTTGCCCTTTGCTTGAGCTGTGAGCCATGAAACAGGAGCCTGTGCTACACATGGGCAGCAAGTTCAAATCCTCACCCCAGCACCAGCAGATCACTGAGCAAACAGTAGGCAAGCACTCTGCTGGGGGTGGACTTACAACCCAGGTAGGGTATTCAGAGATGAGCGGAAGACACTAGTGTCTAAACAAGACAGAAAAAAAATAAACAATGGATGAAAGGGTTTCATACATAGTATACTTTAAAGATATTTCTCTTTTAACCAAGAAGAAAACTTTTAATCTCATAGTTATGAATAATGCTTATTTATAAATAAATACCCCTAGTGTAAAACCACAGACTAAAACTTAGGTTGAAAGGGAAGGCGTACAGGCTCTTGCCAACAAGCTCAGAAGATGAGAGGTAGAGGCAGGAGGACTGCGCCAAGGTCAAAGGTGTCCCAGGTTACAGACTAAGATAGACCCCCATCTCAATCAAGAAACCAGAGTGAGAGAAAGAGCGAGGGAGTAAGGAAAGAGGCGGGGGAAGGAGAGAGGAAAATTGGGACACAGGTTTTAATAACGAGAGAGCCCCAGGGACCGTTCTATGTCTGAAGAAACCTTGTTCCAAGTGCTCTGATACTAAAATGGAGGACACCGGGAACTCCAGGGAGCCAGCAGTATTTTGAGTCTGCGTTTCTGGTGGGAATTGATGTTCCCTGACCCACCCGTCTTGCTCTCTTGTAGCTCTCCCTGGTTGTTCCAGGCGTTGCTCAGACACCCACTCTATAGCCCACTGACCAGGTTGACGTTTCTGGTAGTCTGGAAACTCATTTGACTTCATTTTCAGGGAACTCCGACAACTTTAATGTGATCACAATATGATTTTTGTAACTCTTAATTTCAAAGTTGTACAGCTGATTTTATTTCTTTTACGACTTCAATGTTGACTTATCTCATTGTCAATTTATGGTCATATACTGATGGCCTAAAAGGTTCCTATAATTTGATTTGGGATCAGTTTTTAAGTAGCTGTGTGTTTTTGAGTGAACACGCTATCCTTTCTGATAAGTGACCCCCACCACCACTGTGCCCTCCGTAATACTAATCAATCACACAGCCTATTGACTCTACATGGGTCATACTGTGCCCACTGAATTCTTGACTTCTTCCGGATAACCCTTTCTTCTGTCTTTGTTGTTCTTTGGTTTTTTAGTAGGCAGTTGTTAAATAAATAAACCTGTTGAATACATGTGTGGGGGAGCACTTAAAATCAGGGTACACTTCTACTGCTACCCATTAGGTTGTTCTCAGCAGCTCTGTTTGACCGGAGGATGCCCACCTATGAACCAGCCATGCTGGACCTGGACCAAACCTTCCCCAGGCATCTGACATTCAGACCAGATCATCTAGAAACATTAAGCGTATACAAGGAGCTTGTGAAAGTCAGAGTGAGTTGAACCCAGGGCAACAAAGGCAGTTAGGATAAATAAATAATTCTCTTAAAAAGAAAGCTTATTGTCCTTTTATAACATAACAAAGAAGGAGGAAAAAAAAGAAACAGTGTTAGGAGTACCAGAAAACCGCATCCCCTGAGAATATATTTCCCCTTTTCTGCTCTGTTCTCCTAGGGGAGAGTTTTGTATCATTTTTCTTGTAGGTAGGGAACTTAGGGTGAGCTGGACCCAGAAAGATGAATCTCCCACATGGAATGAAGGCTGCGTTTCCTAAAGTGTGAGCACTTAGGGGGAAATAGTTTATCTTGACGATGCTAAATTGGGAAAAGAAGGAAACAGTAGGATTCATATTAAGAGGAAGCTGAAGTAAGTTTTAAGTTGCTATAAACGCAGAGAAATTTCTCAACCTGCAGCTGGAGCTGGGAAGCCTAGTGGCTCAGCAAGCTGACAGATGAGCCGTTTTTTCAAGTCTTTCTTAACCTTTTGTGGAACTCAAGGCGTACGGGCCAAGTTTAGCTTGGCCAACTTAAGTAGAGTTTATCTTTCAAATTCCTTCTGACCTATGTGAAAGTAGGCTTCGCCTGTTAATTCCTGTTTGGTTTTTTTTTTTTTAATAACTTCTTTTCCCAAAAATAATCTGTTGAAGGTCAAATAATTTTCAAGGCCAGAAGTTTCAAAAGAGGCTGTGCTGCATTCCTGCCTGAGAAATTCTTGTGCACTAATGATTCTCCTGCATTCCTCCGTAACTGGCCACTGGGCCCCGCTTCACTTTCAGTAAATGAGTGCTTAGCCTTCTAGAGACAGTCAAAATCAATGCAAAACGTTTGCTTAACTATATGTTCTGTGGGAGAGATAAAGAAGTTTGCCTGCTTTTTTTTGTACTTGAAAACTATGCAGCATATTTACTTAAAACATAATTACCAGCTAGTTTACCCTGGACACAAGGTGAAGTCCCAGAGTCCCATGCGGTTTGAGCTCCAAGAAATTAGGACTATTACTGCCCTTATTAAGACTAAAAAAGACTGGACTTAGGTTTTGTTTGAACATTTCAGCCTTGTGCTTTTAAACAGCCCGTATCCTCTGTAAACAGAGTTACTCTGAGGAGTTGAAGCTAATTAAAAAAAAAATGTCACTTTTATCTTCTTATCCTAGGTGGTCGGTGTCGCTCAGGCCATCAACAAGAAATCAGGAAATGGTGGGACGTTCACCGAGAAGGATGAGAAGGTACCAGAACCCGCGCTTGGCACAGTGCCAGCTTAGGAAGACACATTCTCTTTATAGCACATGTCTTGAGTTAGGCGTTGCTGAAATGGTTGCTTAAAAAAAAACAACTATGGTTCAGAGTGTGAATCTGTGTGTTTGGGGGAGGGGTGGGGCTGGGATGTGGGAGGGGGTGGGGCTGGGGGGTAGGGCTGGGGTGGGGCTGGGGGTGGAGTGGGGGTGGGGTGGGTTGCTGCTACCATGTGGCTCCTCTGAAAATTAGCAGGTGCTTTTGAATTTGGAAGACATTCAAACAAGACAGTTAATTTTGTTTCTGTGACATAGCAGTGTTGACACCCATGTTAACCCCCATGTTTTAATTGATCTAGATCATAAGAGGCGATTTTTAAAGTCAGTGTAGCATACCTCTGTGCTATTAATGACACCGGCTATCTGATACAAAGGCGTGCTTATTAAATAAATGCTATATCTACTGTTGTAGTCCATTAAAATAAACCTGCCCTTAATAAATACTTAGACTGTATCACATAGGTGTGGCTAAACCATGCCATCTAATGATGCTTTAATCACTAATTTCACTGTGAGCACCTCACTGTATTGCAGTACTATAAGGAGTCTAGATTCATATTTTAAAAGATGTATTTGGGGGCTGGAGAGATGGCTCAGTGGTTAAGAGCACTGGCTGCTCTTCTGGAAGTCCTGAGTTCAATTTCCAGCAACCCCATGGTGGCTCACAACCATCTACAGTGGGATCTGATGCCCTCTTCTGGCATAAAGTTGTACATGCAGATAGAACACATCCATAAAATAAAAAAGGAATTTTTTTTTTTTTAAAAAAGAATGTATTTGAACTAGTATTTGCCACCTTACGTAACACTCAACTTGTTGTGGACAATATTTTCTTAAATATGTGAGTTTTTGTTCACTTCAATAATAAGCTATTTATTTGGTCCCTCATAGACTTGAATCTTAGACTCTACACCAAATCCTGTGTAGAGAAAATTGCAACTTTATGCAAAATTGTCATCTCAATTCCTTTCCTCTTCTTCATATAACATCAGAAGACTGGACCCCTAGTCATCTGCTAGAGGTGCCATTTATCTGGCTGTCAGTTTGCATGAGTTCCTAATTTTAAGCATAGCAAGCCTCTACATTTTGACATTTAACATTTATTTCAACTGCAAGTACTTTTCTGATTCTGGCAATGGTTCTGGACAGTTTATAAGCAGCTCCAATCTGGCTGTTGTTGTCTCCGCTCCAGGACTTCGCTGCCTATTTGGCATTTTGCGGTATTGTTCTTCACAATGCTCAACTCTACGAGACGTCACTGCTGGAGAACAAAAGGAACCAGGTAAATGGGATTTCTGAAGAGAGCCCGAAGCTCGTTTTCAAAGACACTTATGTTTTTATCCAAATCCTGAATGCATCCAATTGAAATTCAATTCATACGATTTGATTTTGTAACTATTTGAGCTGCTTCTTTCTGACAGTCATTTCCTTTTCCATTTTCCGTGTTCAAAAGCTCCATCATTGCTAGTGGCCTTTGAGACACTTAGATGGCCTAAATGTGTGTCATTAAATAAAGCCGAGTTGTTATTCTCAACTGCAGCCATCACTCCATCCCATAGCTTACTCAAGGATCATCCTAGCATCTTTGGTCTTCCTTGCGTCTTTCCCAATCCTACTTCTTGGATCTGCTATCTGTAATTTTTTTCTTATTTGTTACAGAACTTGCTAATATATGTATTGATCTATAATCATGATGATCTTTTCTTAAGTTTTGCTTCTGTTAATTCTAATTTGTAATTACTCTATATACATATCTGTATTACTTTTGCTATCTAACTTTTAGTTTCCTCCTACATTTCTTAATTCCTTCCTTCCTTTCTTGGACTGTTTGCGCTAATGTAATCTCGTGTTCCTGCCCCTCACCCATCCTAACTCTCACACACGTTCTAGGGTTCTTCTTTTCCTAACTTGTCTCAATTATGGATCTCCATATTTCCTGTCACCCTAAACTACCTCTTCTGTGCCTGTACATACAGCACCAGACCACTTGCCTTCAAGCTTCTCTTAGAAAAATTCTGTTTTCTGGATCTCTCACCTTCTTGTTCACGTTAACCCCGTTCTGTTCCGGCGTGTTATCAGTTGAGTGTTTAAGAACAGTACTGATGAGGTAAGCCTTGGGAATCCTCGCACGTATGAAATGCCTGTTTCCCCGCTGCACCGCTCTGGTTGCTGTGATTCTGTGAGCTGGAAAGCTGAGTTTCTCTGATAGGAAGGGCTGCGCTCTGTCTTGTGACTAGCGTTCATGCTCTGCGGCTCGGTTCTTCCCAGATGTTTTGTGTGTATTGTCTATTATAGGGAAACGTACGACCTGTAATGTATTTTTCATGTTATTTGTGTTTTGTGTGCCATGTTTTATATTATATTGGTGTATTATTTTGTATTGCTAAGCTTTTAATGTGTGCCATTGTTTTCATAGGTTAGTTTCACAAGGTCCCTTTGTATTACCATGCCTATATGTCAGGTTAAGACAGGAAATTTAAGAAGACCTGTTTTCTTAAACCTGTCCTGTGTCATCTTTTTCCATTATTTTTTAAATCATGGCCTTCTCCACACTCTGTTTTCTCAGAATTAATGCTATATCTGGGACTATATCTCAATGGCAGGTCACTTGACTACCGTGGGTGAAGCCCTAAGTTCAATCCTAGCACAAAAAGAAAGAAAAAAGGAAAAGTCCAGTGCTAATAAAATATGAGTTATTCAATTATCTTAAACTATAGAATTCTCACATTTTCTTCTCTTATCTCATCTTTCATTTCAGTCCTAACCTTACCAATGCTGCTGCAGCAACACCACCACCCCACCCCCCACTGTATCAACACCCATCCCCCTGTACTGTATCAACACCGTGGTCCCC